TCTGAGGAAGTAATATCGGTTATTCTTATAATTCTAAGGATATACAGAATTTAGAGAAGGCGTTCAGTAACCCTAAAGATATAGAGACTTTAGAGTTGTTCTTTAATACCAAAGATATACAGAGTTTATAGTATTTGTTCTTCATTACCAAAGATATACAGAGTTTAGAGAAGACGTTCAGTAACCCTAAAGATATAGAGACTTTAGAGTTGTTCTTTAATACCAAAGATATACAGAGTTTATATAATTTGTTCTTTAGTACCAAAGATATACAGAATTTAGAGAAGACGTTCAGTAACCCTAAAGATATAGAGACTTTAGAGGAGTTGTTCTTTAATACCAAAGATATACAGAATTTATGGTATTTGTTATTTAATACCAAAGATATACAGAGTTTATATAATTTGTTCTTTAATGCCAAAGATATACAGAATTTAGAGAAGACGTTCAGTAACCCTAAAGATATAGAGACTTTAGAGGAGTTGTTCTTTAATACCAAAGATATACAGAATTTATGGTATTTGTTATTTAATACCAAAGATATACAGAGTTTATAGTATTTGTTCTTCAATACCAAAGATATACAGAATTTAGAGAAGACATTAAGTAACCATAAAGATATAGAGACTTTAGAGTTGTTCTTTAATACCAAAGATATACAGAGTTTATATAATTTGTTCTTTAATACCAAAGATATACAGAATTTAGAGAAGACGTTCAGTAACCCTAAAGATATAGAGACTTTAGAGGAGTTGTTATTTAATACCAAAGATATACAGAGTTTAGAGAAGTCAGCGAAAATTACAACACTTGAGCAATGATGAATAAAATAATAACAAAACAAATGTGGAGTACATTACATTCTGTAATTGAAATTGGTATTATATTCATATTTCTATCGAATTCATTGGAAATAAAAAAATTATTTAAAAATGAAATATAAAATTACAGTGAGGAAGTCATAATCTTGTCACTATTTTTCTTGATGACTGTATCTTTTTTGAAATCCCCTTATAGATGTACCTGTCATAATGCAATACATCAATCTAATATATGTAATTAACAAAACTTGATTTAATATTGCACTTTAATTAATAACCCAAATGTCATATTGACATCACATTAGTTTGGTCTGAAAACTCACAAGGATTTTATCTGATATTTGTATCACATCTTACAGAAGAGATGCTCATCATAATGTTTTTTGGAAATATAAATCCACTTACTGAACTTTAATTACCAGAAAATAATACATTTTAAGTCAAGAAAATGATGGTGGCGTCATCTGTTGAAAACATTCTTAAAATACGAATTTTAACCAAGCTAATCTTAAAATTATTTTATGTGCAACAAATATTTCTAATGAATGAAATTAATATTTTAAAACAGTGGAATCCCACTAGTCGGCCAGATAAGAGTAGTACAAGAGGTGGTGGACGACAATGTTGACTGGTTTATCAGTTCAAAACTAGAGACAGTGTGTATCTGATAGTTCGTTCTAGTTTAAAATAATTTGTAGTTTTGTGTTTCTATACGAAAGAACAGGAAGCTGGAAAAATTACCGAACGTTAGGAACATGAAACTGAGGTATTAAAGTGTAATTCCCACTTTGTTCTCGTGAAAATTTAGCATCTATATCTCACATACAGCAGCGTAAGTTTATTAGCATCTAATCCTTGTTTATTAGCTTTTCAATCGCTGGAACTTTTGTCTTGAACCAAATATATACGTACTAAACATGTTGCCCGTTTCTAGTTCTTTATTTTCCATGTGTTTGTATCTTTCAAGGATTTGCTTTCCAAAAACGAAGCCTATCGTAATTTTTAAACATAATATATCGATGTTCAGTGTCATTTTCACCAGGGATATTAACATAGAATATTGAACGACGACGATGGCATACAAAGTTCTTTAATGTCCGTACATAATTTTATCAGTACTCAAAGGCCCCCTAGTGGCACAGCGGCATGTCTGTGGACTTACAACGCTAGAATTTGTTTGTTTGTAATTAAGCACAAAGCTACACAATGGGCTATCTGTGCTCTGCCCACTACGGGTATCGAAACCCGGATTTTCAACATCTTGTAGCCAAACTCAAACATTTTTAATGGACAT